CATTGGGGAGGATTGTTGGTCTAAAGCCAGCTAAGATGCAGGAGAGCGCTCTACCTCCTCTCTCTGTTTACCTAAAGGCAGAACAGAAATTTACAAAGATAAAAGGTCTGGGGCCAGCAGGTGGCATGGTTAGGACACTGGATTCCCACATGGCTGACCACGGTTCTAGTCTCAGACCTGACAGCTTGCGCGCGCGTGCTCGCTCTCTCTCTCTCTCTCTCTTTCTCTCTTTCTCATGAGTGCATGTGTCCTGTAAGAAATTAATAATAATGATAAATAAAATTGAATGGATAATTCTGGGACCAGCAGATGGTATAATGGTTATGTCATTGGACTCCCACATAAGTCAACTACAGTTTGAGTCCCAGACCCAGTGGTTTAAAATTCATGCCGGGTGTTTGTGCATGCATGCCCAAAATTCTGAGAGGAAAATGGAGGTGAAGGGATTGCAGCATGGACATCCCCCTTCCCAGGGATGCGGGGGTGTTTCTTGCTTTCTGTCTCTTTGGTGGGCGCACATGCCTAGAGCAAAAATCTCTCTTAAAAAAAATAATAATTGAAAGGATAATTCTAAAAAAAAAAAAAAGAAAAAAAGTTTTTCTATCTTCCCTACCCTTCCACTTGAAGACAGGATGTAAATTTTTCTTTATATTCTTTATCAGCTTAGGGTCTGGGAGCAGACGACTCCATGAGTCTTCCCATATATTTTCCTTCCCACAGTTTCTCACAGTTTGGAAGCCTGGGACTATTCCCATTTGACTTGTCGCTTCTCAGAAATGTATTGTTCTGTGTTGGATACACAGTCATGTGTTGCTTAATGATGGGATACATTCTGAGAATCGCCTCATTAGGTGATTTCATTGTGGGAACATTACCAAACCTAAATGGCATAGCCTCCTACGTACCCAGGCTCTGTGGTGTAGCCAATTGGTCCCAGGCTGCAAATCTATACAGCGTGTCACTCTACTGAATAATGTAGGCAGTTTTTTTTGTTTGGTTGGTTTTTTGGGTTTTTTTAGAGAGATTTTTGCTATAGGGCACATACACTCGCCAGAGAGACAGAAAGGGAGACATCACATACACACACACACGCATACACACACTGGGAGATAGGGAGACATCACACACACACACACACACACACACACACACACTGGGAGATGTCCACAACACAATCCCTTCTCCTCTGTTTTTCTCTTGGAATCTTGGGCATCCACACACATGCGTCCTTTGTGAGGTTTAAGCCACCAAGTCCAGGACTTGAACTGTGGTCAACTGTGTGGGAGTCCAGCAGCATAACCATTACGCCATCTGCTGGTCCCTCATTATTATTTTAATTTGACCAGAGTGAAAGGGAAAATGAGAAAGCAAGTCACCAGATCCAGGACTGAAACTGGCGGTCAGCCATGTGGTAGTCCAGTGCCCCGACCACCATGCCACATGCCAGCCCAAATGCTGCAGGTAATTATAACACAGCGATATTTGTGTATTGAAACATATCAACGGCCACCCCAGGGCCTGGTAGTTAAGGTGGCTGGATCCCATATGGCCAACTGCACAGTTCAAGTCCCAGACTCAAAAGCTTGAGAAACACCCTAGACATGTATGTATATATGGCCAAAATCTCAAAAAGGAGGGAGAATTGAAAGAGAAGGAATTGAGGTGTGACCATGCCCCATAGAGGGTGCTTGTTCTCTCTCTCTCTCCAGTGAACACACACACCCTCTAGCAAATATATATATATTTATATATTTATATATATATATACTTTTATATATATATATATATTTACATATACACACGCACATATATATGTGTAAATGTAGAGAAGGTATAGTGAAAAATGATATAAAAGGTTTTAAATAGGCTCACCCATATAGAACACTTACTACAAGGAGCTTGCAGGACTAGAAGTTGCTCTGGATGAGTTAGTGGTGATAAACATAAAATCCTAGGCTATGCTACATTTATTCCATTTTTTTTTAATTGCTAAAAGATGTGTGTACTTGGCAGAGAAACAGAGAGGAAGCACCCTCCAATGGGGAGTGGTCACCCCCAGTCCCTTCTTCATTTCTCCATCCTGTTGGAATTTTGAGGATACACCTGCACACATGCCTGGTATGCATTTCAAACAATAGGGCTAGGATTCAAACTGCAGTTGGCAGTGTGGGATCTGAGTCACTTAACCACCAGACCTAGGGTCAGCTTCATACATATTTCTTAATTTTTTAAATTAATATTAAGTAATAAATAATACTTATTAGTAAGTAATAAAACTAACCTTACTGTCACTTTTTACTATATAAATGAAAGTTTTTTTCAGGTTTTTGAGAATTCTGTAATAATACATAGCCTCAAAAACAAACACATTGTACAGCTATACAGAAATATTTTTTCTCAGGACCAGCAGTTGGCGTAATGGCTACATCGCCAGACTCCCATGTAGCCCACTGTGGTTTGGGTCTCAGACCCAGTGGCTTAAACTCATGTCAGGCACGTGTGCGTACAGGCCCAAGATCCTGAGAGGAGAATGGAGGAGAAAGGACTGTGGCATGGCCATCCCTCAGGGGGTGATTTCTCACTTTCTGTCTCTCTGTCTCTCTCTGTCATTCTGGTGAGCTCATACGCCCTATAGCAAAAACCTCGAAAAAAAAAAAGAAAGAAAGAAATATTTTTTCTTTATGTTGTTATTCTAGAAGCTTTTTCCTATTTTTAAATTTTTTTGTTTATATTTCTCAGCTTTTAATTTTTGTGTTAAAAACTGAGACACAAGCCATCGCAGAGATCATCAGTATCACTGCCTCTGCCTCCACATCTTGTTCCACTAAAGGGCCATGGTGAAGACTGCCTGGGAGTAAATCAGGCACAGGGTGCAGCGATGCCATCAAGAGACAAGATTTCTGAGGCAGCCAGCATCACACAGCATGCTGTCTTACAGCAGACGTTCTATAAGTAGCGGTAGACTCCAACTGTGTATAATCACAGTAGAAAGTATAGTGCCGTAAATATATAAGCCAGTAACATTCACTTCTCCTTTTAAAAAAAGATTGATTTAACTTCCTTTTTTCTTTCTTTTTTTATTTATTTAAATTTGACCAGAGAGAGACAGAGTGAGAGAGAGGGGGAAAGTAAGAGAGCAAGCCGCCAGGTCTGGGACTAACCACTGACTGTCAGCCACGTGAGAGTCTAGCGCCTTTAACCATCACACCTCCTGCCTGCCTCAAGAGTCAGTTACTTATCAAGTGTTACGTACCCATACGTCATCGTAAGTGCTATGCATTTAGGTCTCTTATACCAATATCACTGCAAATAAGAAAGGTGTTTCATTACAGTTTTGTAATAGCTACAACATCACTGTGTGATAGAAAATTTTCAGCTTCATTATAATCTTATGGTTCATTTTCTCATATGTGGTCTATCATTAACCAAAACATTACTATTCCAGTCCTGACTATCATTGTTTAAGCCAGACTCTAAGCCACTAGTTTGAGTACTTTCCACTGAGGTTTTTCCCACATGATGTGTTCTGCATGTGTTAATAAACTTGCTTGTTTTTCTGTTGTTAATCTGTCTTTGGTTTAAGGGTTGAGGAAAAATTATACTTTTCTCCCCTATACCATCCATCCATCAATGGGTCTTATTCTTTGTAGACATTTCAAAATAAGTGGAAGACATTAGTATTAATACATTTCCACTTAAATATTTCATTTTATATGCTAGCTAGAATTCAACCTTTAGGGTTTTTTTAAAAGAATTATTTATTTAATTTATTTACCTTTTTTAAAAGAATTATTTAATTCTGTTTGTCATTATTATTTTTAAAGAATTATTTATTTGGGACCAGCAGTTAGTGTAATGGCTATGTCGCTGGACTCCCACGTAGTCAACCTCGGTTCGAGTTCCGGACCCAGCGGCTTAAACTCACACCAGGCACGTGTGCGTGCGTGCCCAAGATCCTGAGAGGAGAAAGGAGGAGAAGGGATTGCGGCATGGCCATCCCCCCTGGGGGGGTGATTTCTCCCTTTCTCTCTCTCTATCTCTGTCTTTCTGGTGAGCGCACGCACCCTATAGCAAAAAAAACTCTCCAAAAAAAAAAGAATTATTTATTTAATTTTATTATTATTATTATTATATTTTTTTCATTTAACCAGAGATACAGAAAAAAAAGGGGGGACTTGAGAAAGCAACCCAACAGGTCCAGTACCTGAACTGTGGTCAGCCATGTGGGAGTCCAGCACCTTAACCACCACACCACCCACTGACCCCATTCTTTTTTAATCTGACCAGACAGAGACAGAGAAAAAGGGAAAGTGAGAAAGCAAGCTGCCAGGTCCAGTACTCAAACCATGGTCAGCCATGTGGAAATCCATACCTTTATCCACCATAGCACCTACCAGCCAAATTTTTTTTTTTTTTTTTTAACCAGAAGGGGTGGGGGAGTTAAAAAGGAAACTACCATGTCCAGGACGCGAACCATGGTCACCCATGTGGGAATCCACCTCAGACACGCCACCTGCTGGCCCTAGGTTTTTGTTTTGTTTTTCATTCAGGGTGAGGTAATTACTACATAAAATGAACTGCTTAAGTCTTAAATAATAAGACTTACTTAAGTCATTTTTATGTGCTAAGTTTTGGCAGTTACATATACCTACGTCAACAACTCTTAGATCTAAGAAACTGTCACCTCTGAAGGTTCCCTTAGGCCCTTTCTCAGTTCATCTCTACCCACCCGTTTAGAGACCTCTACTGTTCTGACCTTCAGTCACCATAGATACCACAAGTTAGTTCATGTGGCTTTTTTGATTCATGATAGAGCATAGATACATAAATATAGGTTGAATTATTGCTCACAGGCCATGCTTAAGTTAAGTGCTTCTTTTGGAAAGGATTCATGATGATTTCAGTTTTGTAACCACTGTTTCCTATCCTCATTTTTTGACTAGTATGAGTGAGTTTTATAAAACCTGTATAATTTTTTTTTTTTTTTTTTTTTACATCAGGGAACCTCCACAAGGAGCTCATTTTCTTGCCAAAAGTCTGAATGATGCCCTAAAACTTATTGAGCAACCAGAATTAGCTAATCAAGTGGACATGGTTTGGATAGTGGGAGGTAGTTCTGTTTATAAGGTGAGTAATCTGTAAATAGAAAGGAATGCTCATCTCTGCTTCCTCTTTGCTTTCCCGCCGTTTAAAGGAGGGTGGGGAGGGGCAGGGCATAACCCATCGCCTGAACCCTGAAGAGGGTTGGGGCCATGAGCAGCACACTGCCGTACCCTAAGTTGTACAGACATGTCAATTTGGATTACTCGTTTGAGTCTATCATGCCAACTAACTAAAATGTAAAGGTAAATTCTTTGGTCTGTGCCAGTCTGTTTTTAGTTCAGAATAGGTGATATCTCCAATTTAAAACCATTCTCAATCCTTTGCAGAGAATCAGACTTGCACTGCGCTCTTCCCCCTACCCTGCATGTGCCCTAGATACGCAGTCATCATCTTTTCTTCCAGAATAAGTACGTCTCTTCCTGAGAAGGGATGGACCTCTCAGTTGATACATCCTTGCTAACATTTATGAATTTGTTAGAAGCAGAAAACTTTTCCTCAACAACTTTCATGTAGTGTGAAAGCATGAAGGAGTACTTACATGATTTCATGCCATAAGGTAGAATAGTGTGTAAAGGAGCTCTTCCTTCTGCTTGATACTTAATGACTTCTAGCTTTAAAAAGTTGCAGTGTGGGCCAGCCAGTGGCTTGGTAGTTAAGGCACTGGATCCCCACATGGTCGAACACAGTAACTTGAAAATCATGCCAGGCAAAAGGGACTGTGGCACGGCCATCCCCCTGGGCTAATTTCTCACTTTTTCTATCTCTATCCAGTGAGCGTACATTTGTTATAGCAAAAACTTAAAAAAAAGAGAGAGAGAGAATGAAATTCTTGGATTTTTTAAAATACTAATAAAAGATTAACATTTAGGGAGTTACAAAAAAAAAAAAAAATGAGCCCCTGACCATTGGAGATTGTGGTAACATATATACTGAAACTATTTTAGAAAGACTAGGTAAGGCCAGCCCTGTAGCACAATGGTTAAGTGCTATGCATTGGGAACTGGATCCTATATTGCTAACCCTGGTTCAAGTCCTGGCCCCAGTGGCATGTGCGAGTGCCCCAAATCATAACAGGATGGAGGAATGGAAGAAAAAGTTTTGTCATGTGACCATGCCCCATTGAGGGTGTGCATTCTCTCATTTTCTCTCTCTCGCTGGCAAGTGCACACACCCTCTGGCAATTAAAAATAACAGTAATAGTATACCAGGACCCTAAATGGGATTATAAAGACTCAGTTTCTTGGGTTGCCTTTTCCGTAACCTTTTATTTTCTCTATTTGTAATGGGGAAAATGGTGGTTGTTGTTTTTTAATCTTTTGTCTAAGTACAAATTCTTCTAAAAATAAACAAGTCACGTCTTTATTCAGTATTTATCATATTTTGAATGATACAGTACTACATTCACTTTAAAATGTATTCTTTTTTTATTTATTTTTTTTTGAGAGGTTTTTACTATAGGGTGCCTGCGCTCGCCAGACAGAGAGACAGAAAGCGAGAAATCCCCCCCGATGGGGGATGGCCACGCTGCAATCCCTTCTCCTCCATTCTCCTCTCAGGATCTTGGGCACGCACACACATGTGCCTGGTGTGAGTTTTGAGCCACTGGGTCTGGGATGCGAACCCCGATCAACTACATGGGAGTCCAGCAACATAGCCATTACACAAACTGCTGGTCCCTTAAAATGTATTCTTTAAACAATATAAGTACATAAAATTAAGTGCATTTATCATTTCATATTCTTATATGTATATGAAGAACCAAGAAGTAGACCTAAAGAAGTGAAATATTTTTTTTGTTTGTTTATTAGAATTATTTATTTTTAGTTTTATTTATTTATTTATTTATTTTAGTTTTAGTTTTCCTATAGGGCATGTACACTCACCAGAGAGAGAGGGGGACAGTGAAAAAGCAAGCCACCAGGTCTAGGACTCAAACCAATGTGAGCCATGTGGGAGTCCAGCACCATGCCACCTGCTGGCCTCAGAGAAGTGATAGTTTTACATTATCCACTTCCTTCATGTCAGTCACAACAGCTTATATATCATTCAGGCTTATCTTCTCATGGGCCAGATCCCTTCTCCCTGCCTGTTACTGTAAATGAAGTCTAATTGAAACACCACTATGCCCATTTGTTTACATTGTGTATGGTGCTTTTAGCTACAAAGATAACTATAGTCTGCAAAGCCCTTTACAGAAAGTTTACTTTATATCAACTTTGGTACACAGCATCAGATGTTGCTGCAATTAGTCCTCAGTTTTCTCCTTTTTTTTGACAGAGAGGTTTTTGCTGTAAGGTACATGTGCTCACCAGAGAGACAGAGAGAGAGAGAGAAAGTGAGAAATCTCCCCCCTGGGGTTATGGCAACACCATAATCCCTTCTCCTCCCTTCTTCTCTCTTGGGCTTTTGGGCACGCACACACATGTCTGGTGTGTGTCAAGCTGCCAGATCCAGGACTTGAACCACAGTCAGCCATGTGGGAGTCCAGCACCTTAGCCACCTGTTGTGCCCTATTCAGTTTTCTAATTTTGGAGTACAGTGAGAATTGGTAGATTATTTATTTGGTTGTAGCAAAAATAAGTGATTTAATAGAAGCTGTAGTACTGAAAATAAAACAGAAAACTGGTTCTGTTCCCTTATTTAGAATTTAAAAGATAACAAACACCTGGAATTTCGTGTATATGCACACATTTTTTGTTTGTTTTCCCTATAAGCTATTTGAAGATCAACAGTTACTGTTTTCTTAGAGCTGCCATTAGAACTCAAAACATTTTTTAGAATTTTAAGATACTCATTCCAGAGCAGTTTTTTTCTATAGAAATTATCAATAGTACTATCGGCAATGGTTAGTAAGAGTCATTAACAGTAACAGGCCAGTTCACTTGTTCGCAACTGTAGGCAGAATAAATTATGTCCCTATAATCATTGTAACTATCTCTCAAAAAAGGAAAATATTACTCAAGTTTATGTGCGTTTACTAAATATGTCCTTGAGGTTTTCAGTTGTCAACGTCTTATGAAACTATACTGTCTTATTCATATATACATATGTGGTTTTTTCCTATGGAGAAAAATTTGTGGGATCTTGCTTCTCTTTTCGTTTTTTAGCTTTTTTTTTTTTTTTTT